TTCGAAATCACCGTTAGGCTGTTTATTCTGGGGCTTCATCTATTCTGAGACTAAGTGGGGATGTCTGCCTTTCCTTCCTGCCCTACCAATACAGGCTGTTTTTTTCTTCATTCCACTAATTAAAAATGGGTAAAACTTCAGTTGGTCATGTTGCTGCTTTTTTATTTTATTTTTTTCTCCTCACCCGAGGACATCTTCCCATTTTTTGTTCAGGTAGAGTGGGAGGGAGAGAGAGGAACAGAGAGAGAGAGAGAAACATTGACGTGAAAGGAACACATCGAGTGGCTGCCACCCGCACAACCGACCAGGGCCGGGGACAAACTGCAACCGAGGTACACGCCCTTAGCGGGAACCGAACCCGGGTCTCTCAGGACCGCAGGCCGACGCTCCAACCGCTGAGCCAAACCGGCCAGGGCTTGTTGCTGCTTTTTTAGAAGAAGAGACTGGCTTTGAGTTGAAAATACTGGATGTAGGCAGGCTCAGGAGATGTCAGTCCTGTCTATGTCACTCCTGCGCGGGCAGAGTTAACTGCACACGTCAGGAAGAACAGTTTCCCTGTGATGCACAAGCATCCCACTGCACTGGCACCGAAGCCCGACCGGCCACAGATGCTTGCCTGGAAGCCAGCCTGACCCCTACAGGTCCCGATCCTTCTGGACTCAGTGTAGAGGAAGCACAGGGCTTCACACACCAATCCTCCAGACTCTATAATCACAGCAGAGGAGTCTCACCCAATCTGTGGCGTTACATTTTGCTGATAATGCCCAAAGTTATCTGTGTAGCCCAGACCTCTCCCATGACTCCGAATTCTAATTTCCAATCGCCTTCTCAATTAAAAATTCAAAAGGCATTTCAAACGTAAGATACCCAAACTCTGCCATAACCAACTCCTCTCCTCCCCCAATCTCCTAATCTACCCTTCCCATCATCTTCCCCATCCTTTTAGTTCCCCAGGTCCAACACCCCACAGGCAATTCTTACTCTTACAACCCTCATCTAAATATCACCAATTCTTGTTAGTTCTGCCTGTGAGACAGGCCCAGATTCTGACCATCAGCACCAGATGGATGAATGCAGAGGGGTGGCATCCCTTCTGGAGGCTTCAGGGGGAAACCCACACTCTTGGCTTCTTCAGCTTCTGGAGGCCCCTGCATTTCTTGGCTCATGGTCCCTTCCACGCGTGACTCCAACCTCACGATTCTGCCATCACACCTGTTACTACTCTCTCTTACCCTCCTGCGTCCCTCTTCTAAAGACCCGATGACCATACTGGATTTACGTGGGGAATACAGAATAATCTCCCCATCTCAAGATTCTAAATCACATCTGTTAAGTCCTTTTTCCATGCAAGGTAACATATTCCCAGGTTCTGGTGATTAGGACGAGGGCATCTTTGGGGGGGACCATTATTGACACTCCTACACCATCTCACCCCGAGTTAAAGCCAAAGGCCTTACAGTGCCCACAAGTTCCCTTGGGATATAGTCTCTACTTCCGAGCTAAGCTCATCAATTCCAACTCTCCCCTTCGTTCACTCTGTTCCAGCTGCATTAGTCTTGCTGTTATTCCTCAGCACACAAGCCCACCTCAGTCCTTGGCACTTCCCTCGGCCACAGAAGCTCCCTCCCTCCTTTAGGTCTCTATGCAGAAGGCACCATGTTATGAGAGACGCTTTCTCTGCTGAGCAATAACCCCACCCTCCCCCACCCCACCCCCAACTGGACACTCCTTCCCATGCTTGCTTCTCTTCCTAGAGCACTTACCATCATCTGACGTGCTACTGGTCCATCCACCCACTCATCCTCCCCTACTAGAATGTCATAGGGGGTGTTTTGTCTCTTATTGTATCTCCAGAAAAGAAAACATGAAGCCAGAGCTCAATAAACAGTTGTTGAACATGTGAATTTTACTTTATTAGAAAAGAAAGTTCCTTGGAGACAAGACTTGGCCTAAAGTAGGAGCTCAGTGAATGCCTGGATGGATGGATGGATGGATGGATGGATGGATGAATGACAGACCAATTTATATCTAATTTTCTATGAATAAACTGGACTCACATCAAATCAAGCGCGTTATTGTGTAGGAATTGAACATAGTGGTTAAATAACTTCCTCGGGGACACATAACACAAGGAAAATGATCCGACTACACAGTAAAACTCCACTCAAGCCCCTGACCTCATGTTGCCGTGTCGCTGCATGTCCTTATATCACGGGTCAGAACTCTACTGGATTCCCTTGCTTGGCCCAAATACTCTTACCAATAAAGTTTCTAGTTAATAAAAGTCTGAACTTATTTTTTAAGGAAATTTCCCAGAAATCTCAAAAGCATTTATCTTGCTTTTCAGACATGTAAAGTAAACATGCAGGGGAGAGGTAATAATCCACACTTTAAAGTGCACCCGGGGCAAACCTGCAGCCAGGGGGTGCTGGCGGGACAGGTATAACAAGCTGCAAGCACATCAGGCCCTACACTGGCCCTCAGCTACACGGGCCCTCGCATCTTCAGCACACAGACAAAGACACCCCTGTTGTGGCTGGGTGTTTACCGGGGCAAGAACACGGCAGCAACGCAACTGGCTTGGAATGGAACAAGGAAACAGCGATTTGTTTCCCAGAGGCCATCTCAGCCGCATTCTGCAAAGTGTTGCTTTGGCCCTGCTGCTCGTATACCAGCCCAGTCGGCAACTGGCCATGGTTCCCTCTGTCCTCCTGCCACCATCTGGGGAATGAGCCAGCGCCGCACCTTGTTCACGCCTGGAAGCCGCTTTCTAGGAAGCCTTCCCCCCGCACGAAGGGGAAGGGGGACACCCCCGCGGTTAGGAACGTGGGCCTGGAGCACAGCCCGTCGGGGTCAGTCCTCACCTCTGTGACTCACTGACTGTGCCCCCTCCAAGCCTGTTTCCTCACCTCTAAAAGTCAGCTTACTATGCTTGTAACAATTACGGGAGAGGGTGTGGGGAAAGCACACAGGCCAGAATGCACACTGGCTATTACCACTATCCATTAGACTTCACTCTGAAAAAAATAATCAGTGTTTAAAAATAAATAATACATCTGTCTTCATTCTGAGTTTAGGTTTGTAACAGAAACTCCCAGGGGTTTATCATTTATTTCCAGCTAAGTGTTCACCAGCAACGAGGGAAAACTGCCACCAGGCAGATGTTGCGATTAAGCTTTTCTAGATATGGCTCACAAACATAAAGCTATTGAAAGATTTTCTCCTTAATTCCACTGCTGAATAAAAAAACATAAACAATATCAGAGAGCTTAACAGAAATGTTAGACAAATATGATAACATGCAGCACTTATGTAGGATAAGTAATATAAGTAAGACTTTAAGATATAAACACATAGGTATGTGTAGGTTCAACTAGATTTGTTTTCTAACAAATCACTATCTGATAGAAATCACTGATTAATCTAATGCCCTACATTGTCTCACTGCTTGGAAAATGAAATGAGATAAAACAACAAAATATACTTTTTTTTTCATTTCTCCCAATCACATCAACCAAGGATGCACCGAGTGAGCTTTACAAATTAGACAGGAATTAGTCTCCTGCACGGAAATTCGGATTCCGTAGGTTGGGAGGGAGCAGGTATTTGTACTGAGCAAAAGCTTGCCTGGTGCTACCCACGCTTACACCTATGGTTAACAATCACTGTGGAGAATCTTTGTTTTGACAAGAAGTTTTCCGCCTTAACACGCTAGCCAAGACATTTTCTTGGTCCTGTAGCTCGCTCCTAACGTGAGATAGGACTGCTTGTAACTCAGAGAAGGCAAGGTGCTGAGTTACCCCTGTGCCCTTAAAAGCAGGACACCTCTCTCTAGACCTGTTACACTAACCAAGGAGCTGAAGGAGACGGGAAAAGTGGGGGTAAAACTTGACACTTGTTTCCTGCAGTCATGTGAATGCTTTTCCTTCAGAGCAGCGCTGCCCAGCAGAACTCCCTGTGCTGAATGGAGACGTTGTCTACCTGCGTTCTCCACACGTGGCTGGTGAGCACGTGGAATGTGGCTCGTGGCTTCCATGCTGAACAGCGCAGCTCTGAACAGAAGTCAGGCTCTGCCTGCTCACAGCCTTCCCAGGACCCTGCGAGCCTATCTGCGGGCCTCACTTCATTAGTTCGTTCAGGACATACCCCTTGAGCACATACCCCATGTACACAGTAGGCCTAGGGGAACAAATACAGAACCCCTTCTCTCCGTGAGCTTACATCCTAACTTACAACCAGCCTCCTTAAAATCATCAGACTCATCTGAGGTACTTCCTCAAAAGAACTTTGGGTTAAATGTGTTTTTTCAAATGATGGTATTTTGGAACAGAAAAGTAGTCCTAGTAGTTTGAGAAACAATGCAGAGCCTCAGACACAGAAGAACAGGCTTGGGCGTCATTTCCAAGGAAGGTCATAAGCCCACCTTGGGTCACGCGACTGATCAGGCAGAAGAGTAAGAATCAGCTACGAGGAGCACAGGACCAAGGAATCCCCAACCGGAACACATGTCAAAACTCCCACTGCAGGTGGGATCAGGAGAGAATCAAAATCATGGCTGGAAAAGGTATTTAGAAGCAGCTGTAACAAACACTAACTATTTAGTAAAAGTTTTCAAGAGATTAAAATAAAAATAAAAACCCCACTGGATTTGTAAAAACAAGACACATTCCCAGCTAGCCCAGGAGCCATCGATAAGGCGGTCGCCCCTCACCCCGGGCTCCTGCCACTCCACATGCAGGCAGCTGAGCTGGGTCGTCGCTCATCAGCAGTTTCCGAGACGCTGCAGCTCTAGCTGCTGCACACAGCACAGCGTCAGGGCAGGTCACACCCCTCACAGCGGAAGTCTGGGCAACGACAAATGCTAGTAGAAATGATCAGAACTAGGTGCCTCGGTGGAGGGTATTTGCCAGCAAGAAGAGGGAGGGTTGCTCAGAATTGCTGCATTTGGATAATCAGTATTAATTAAACCCAGAACTAAGCTCATTCATCAGCAACCTTACCTAGTTCTGGGGGCAGAACGGTCAGGCGGTTCCCCTGAATGTGGAGCTCCTTAAGCTGAGTAAGCTCCCCGATTTCCTTAGGCAGCGAGATCAGGTCGTTATCCCTAAGGCTGAGCTAAATATAAGAAAACAAGGAGTTGTCAAAACAATTTCACATAAATTCCCTTAAAGAGGTGCTCAACATAAACTCTGTCCTCTCCCATGCCCTCTCTTCTTTAAGCCTCAGTCCTTCCAATTTATTTACAAGCGTCTGCAGATGAACAAGAAACAGTATCAAGAGTAGTGGTTTATTCCTGCAAAACAAACCCTACTCCTGCTCAAATTGACTTGATTCTACTCCTACAGGGGCTGCAGAAGTGAATTGATTTTCTCAGAATTTAGATAAATTACTTACTATCTGCAACTTTGTGAGCTTCCCGATATCTGGCGGCAGGATTTCAAAATCGTTGTCACTTAGATAGAGTGCACGCAGGGTGGCTGCAAATTAAACAGCAATATATAAACAGGGTGGCATGGAACCCAACCATTTGAGGCCTGATCAATACCAGGGAGTCAGCTTTGATTAATAACCGTGGCTGGGTGAAAAGCCTGTGACATACCTAGGGCTCACAATAATAACAAGCAGGTCAAACTTAGATTTACTGGCTTATTGTGGGGCTGGTGTGTTCAGGAAAACATCTATATCCAACAGCATTGACACAATTAACAACTGTGGGCACCAGTAGTTTTGGGCACAAAGTTTCAATAGGCTTTCAGAAAAGATAGCTACTTTTTTCCTCTTACTTCCGATTCCCATTTCTTACTCCATTTGCATCCGAAGTAAAACAAAGAAAACCACTGTGTCACTTATATCAATAATGAGGGCAAAAGGGCTCTTTCATGTAAAGAGAACTATGTTAAAAATAAACAAACAACTAAAAGGCTTCCGGGTAGTGGAGGCCATAATCACTGTTCACTGTTTCCATAATCAGACTAATTACAGTTGACCCCTGAATAATGAGGAGGTTAGAGACAATGACCCCCTGCACAGTAAAAAATCCACACGTAACTTTTGATTCTCCAAATACTAATAGCCTCCCATTGACCAGAACTCTTACCAAAAACATTGTCATTTAACACATATTTTTTATGTTATATGCATTATATACTGTATTCTTACAATAAAGTAAGCTAGAGAAAAAAAATGTTACTACAAAAACCATAAGAAGAAATATATTTACTGTATTTAATGAAAAAAATCCATGTATAAGTGGACCTGCACAGTTCAAATCTTACAACTCTGTGTTGTTCAAGGGTCAACTGTACTATCACCTGTTTCTACAGACTTAACAAGAAACATAAATGAAGACAAAGGGGCTAAAATAATGACATGGAGGTTAAAAATAGAGAAAACCCCAACTTAGGCAGAATACCAGTAATCAGAAATTTGTTCACAATATCACAATGGTAACATGATCCAAACTACTAAAGGCTAAAATCCTAAAGAATCTTTTTATCCTCAACCAAAAAGTATAGTCAGATGTATGTTTTTTTCTTTGTTTACAGGTATTCATTCAATTACATTCTAATGTTTTAAAATTCGACAGAATTGTATGTTAATTTACATAACAAAAAACATTTTCTTCCACAGCCCAAGAAAATACTTTAGAGTTGCTTTCAAATGCTTGAGAAAGTCTGAGAGCAGGTATACATAAGGCAAAAAATGTAATTTTAGAGACTAGCTTAGAATTCAGTATTTCTGGATGCTATATATGTCACTATTTGGAGAAGCAGAGCACTCATTGAAGGAAAGCAACTCTTTCCTAAATATTTCATGAGTTCTTGAAAAAATATTTTTTCCTAATTTTTACAAGCATTTGCCACAAGAATCTGTTTGCATAAGAACAGATAAAGTGTGTTTAATTGTATACTATCAACAAAATAGACTACATCAATAAGAGCACTTTTTAAAAGGCTTAAAACAAGAATTATGGCTGGAAATTTAAAAAATTCTGTCAATGCCTTATTGATAGATATTTTTATAAAGAACTGATTAGGCCCTGGCCAGTTTGGCTCAGCAATTAGAGCGTCAGCCTGCGGACCAGAGGTCCCGGGTTCAGTTCCCGCTAAGGGCACATACCTCAGTTGCAGTTTGTCCCCAACCCTGGTTGGGGTCATGTGGGTGGCAACTACTCTATGTGTCTCTCTCATGTCGATGTTTCTCTCTCTCTCTCTTCCTCCCTCTCTCCCTCCCGCTCTATCTGAACATAAATGCAAAAAAAAAAAAGAATTGATTAGAATATCATTGGGCAAATACCCTACAAAAAGTTACCTGCAACATGGGAGGAGACATATATTATTATATTTTTTTGCATGTTCTTTAAAAAAAGAAACTCAAACTGCTTAGCTACATATCTCATTTAGATACATAATCTCTATGAGAAAGTTAATATGACTTTACTACGTCCGCCTCAGTGCAATGGAGTCAGATAACTATATATCAAATACACATACCGCCCTGGCCGGTTTGGTTCAGCGGTTAGAGCGTCGGCCTGCGGTCCAGAGAGACCTGGGTTCGGTTCCCGCTAAGGGCACGTACCTCGGTTGCAGTTTGTCCCCGGCCCTGGTTGGTCATGTGGGTGGCAGCCACTCGATGTGTCCCTTCACATCGATGTTTCTCTCTCTGTTCCTCTCTCTCCCTCCCACTCTACCTGAACAAAAAATGAAAAAAAATGTCCTCGGGTGAGGACAAATACACATACCGCTGAGCTATGAAGAAATATTTGAAAGGAATCTGTAAAGAAAAAATACACACACACACACACACACATATATACACACATACATACACACACCCTATAATTTCTCTTGGAGTTTGGGCCCTGGCAAATAAATTTCACTTTCAGAATGCAAAGTACCGTTTTAAGGAGACTTATAGAAGTCAAAGTTTCTTACTCAGGTAGAAGAAGTTTCCAGGAAGGGAATTTTCATTCAAGTTGTTGTAAGTCAAATCAAGAACCTCAAGAGCTGGGAGAGAGCCAAATCCTCGAGGCAGAGTGTTTAGTCTATTCATGCTGTTGGTGGGGGGAAAAGACAACACGTCACACACAAAACACACGTTTAGATAGAATACTCAGATCACCTCGGTGTCGCAGGCCTGAGAGCTGTGCGTGAGGGGTTGAAAGCTTCCAAGAGGTCATTAAGTCTATCATCACTCTGTTATTTTAACCAGCCTCGTATTTTTAGTCCGAGAATCTACATGGCCATGAAACATTTGAAAATTTCTTAGCTGTCATTTTCTCCAATGGTGATGCTCAATCACTGTTTTACACAGAAAATTAAATCATCACAAAATATCTATCCTTCTAGAGAAAAACTTCCTTATGAATGTTGCAATAACAACATCTCAAAAGAAATATAGTAAGCTTTGTAGTTTTCAGACTTGACTTTATTTCACTTAGTCCTCCCAAAGAGAGGAAAACAATTACTTTTTAGTTCCAGGACTTCTTACATTCAAAATTATCTCCAATTCGAATGCTGGTTCCGAGGGGCTGAGGGAGGAGAATAGGGAGTGAGTGGCTGTTTCGTGGGTACAGAGTTCTGGTTTTGTATGATGAGAAACCTCTGGAGATTGGCGGCACCACAACATGAATGAATATACTCAACACAACTGAACCATATACTTAAAATGGCTGAGACGGTAAATTTTATATTATGTGTATTTCACAATTGAAAATAAATAAATAAATAAATATAATATATACATTTAGTTATATATATATTTTACATATCCAATAAAACGTAAGGAAAATTATTTTTCTTTTACTCTCTCTTATCATTTTCTTCAAGACCCTATTTTTCTTAACACGGTTCCCTTTGTGCATAGTTAAAAGTTGATTTTAAATATTTTTTTAGCCCTGGCCGGTTTGGCTCAGCGGTTAGAGTGTCGGCCTTCAGTCCTGAGAGACCCGGGTTCGGTTCCCGCTAAGGGCGCATGCCTCGGTTGCAGTTTGTCCCCTGCCCTGGTGGGTCGTGCGGGTGGCAGCCACTCGATGTGTTCCTTTCACGTCGATGTTTCTCTCTCTCTCTCTCTCTCTCTCTCTCTGTTCCTCTCTCTCCCTCCCACTCTGTCTGAACAAAGAATGGAGAAATGTCCTCGGGTGAGGATAAAAAAATAAAAAAATAAATATTTTTTTAAACATCTAATACAGACTGACATATGTGAAAAGGTGAGAGGGACTGTGACATCACAAATAATTCTAGACATCGATCCTTCCTGTATGAGCTACAATCCTGTCCACATCCACCAATCAGGCCTCACAAAGAAGAGTGGCCTCCGCCTCTGGATGGTTAACTTTACATGCAACAAAATAAGCTCCATGATAATTTGCTAAAAGGACAACTGACATTTTCTACGAATTCACAATTTGGGGCGCACATTTATATCAAGTACAGTATTTCCCCTGACGCACCAAAACTATCACATCATATAGGCAGGACAGCACTTAAAACCAACTCTAATGTGGAGATGAAGAACCGGCTGAGAGAGGTTAAGTACCGAGGACTTTTGACTCAGCGGATGAGGGTGACAGGTGTCTGAGAGCATCTAGCAGCACCTCCTGGAAGCCTAGACTCCAATGCAAGGATCTGAAGAAATTGGAAGAAAAGCCAGAGATAGTGGGAAATGCACAGAAGTATACTTTAGGTTAATGACTTTCAACCTTTTTCATCTCATGCCACACATAAAATAATTAAAATTCTGTGGCATACCCAAAAATGTTATATTATTTTGCCGATCCGACAGAAAAAAAAGTTACAATTTTTTTTCTTCTTTTTTTTTTAATCCTCACCCTAGGACATTCATTCATCTTCAGATAGAGCTGGAAGGAGAGAGGAAGAAAGAGAGAGAAAGAGAAAGAAACATCGATGTGAGAGAGACACATCGAGTGGCTGCCACCCACACAACCCCAACCAGGGCCCGGCACAAACCACAACTGAGGCACATGCCCTTAGCCGGAATCAAACCCGGGACTCTTTGGTCTGGGGGTGATGCTCTAACCTCTGAGCCATACCAGCCAGGGCTGTATAACTGTTTTCTTTTTTTATTCACTCACCCAGACGGCTACAGTTGTGCTGGCTGCTGTCGTCTGTTATTTGGCAGCCCACAGGGAAAGATGCCAGTGCCCTGACTGCATGGTCAGGTACTCCATGCTTCACCAGTTCTTGTGGCACAGCGGGTGAAGTTCGCTGCCTTAGAGGCAAGAGGCATCTCACTGGAGAGAGAGGTCCCTCCCCATCTCCAGCGCAGCGAGCCTGAATCTACTGAACTGCAGTTTTCTCTCTCCTTGAGCGACAAACCAGCGCCGACACGTCGGACACAGCAGAGCCGTGCAACTGACAGCAGTCAGTGGCAGTGGTAGGCCCAGGGACCGGTGGGCGGAGAGGAAGCCCTGACTGACATGTCTCAGAAGGTTCAGCCGTGCTGACAATAGTCCCAGCTACAAACAGTGCAAGAGGCTGTGAGGACTACTGGTTGTTTCTCTCGACACCAGCACCCGTGTCACAATGTGAGAGGCCCTATGTCTCTGAAGAATGATGGGTGGCATGCGCTGGCTTCCCCCACAGTGGGCACTAACATCACCTCCATCTACACAGGTGGAATGTGTGCCTTCAGGCCCCCCTCCAAGAGCGCTGGCACTCAAGGTGTCCACGAGAGGCTACAGTAGGGGTGGTGGAGGGACAGACCTAGGTCTGAAGCCCAGCTCTAGCACCTGCTCGCTGGGCAACCTTGGAGAAGTGACTCAGCTTCTCTGAGACCAAGTCCTCTTCATCTGTAAAATAAGGCCAGCAATACCCTCCCAGGACTGCCAGGAGGATGGGGGAGAGAACATGTGAAACACTTAACGTAATCCGGGGCTCCCAGGTGGGTTCTCAAGCAATCATAGCTGTAACTACACCTATCTTTCAGGCGGAGGTTTGAGAGGAATTTGGACTCAGCCCCAAAGAGGCAGGCTCACCTTAGGAGAAGATCGTGATGGCAGCCTCAACTACCAAGGATGGACTTTCTGTTTGCACCAACACGACTTCCCTCAAGTCACTCTACGGTTGCGGCTCAACCATGCCAAACAGCATCAACCTTTTGTTTGTATGCGGACATTTTCCAAACGCATGTCGGAAATGGGAAAATGCCTGCATGTGTCAGAGAAATTTACAAAAGCAGATTTTTCTTTCTCTTCCTCAAAAGCCACAGGAAGGTCTATAGAAATAATGCTTCTCTTTTGGAACATCTGGATCTCCAGAGATTTCCTCTCCTTCAATAAAACCTTCCTGGCTAAAGGCAAGAATTTCACTCACCTCCACAGTGACCCACTCATACACTTACCAAATATATGAAATTTAAAAATCCTGCCTCACTGGTGTGGCTCAGTGGTTGAGCACCAACCCAGGCACCAAGAGGTCGCCAGTACGATTCCCGTCAGGGCACATGCCCAGGTTGTGGGCCAAATCCCCAGTGGGGGGCATGCAGGAGGCGGCCAGTCGATGTTCTCTCTCATCGATGTTTCTATCTCTCTCTCCCTCTCCCTTCCACTCTCTAAAATCAATAAAGAAAAAAAAATAAAAATCCAAATTCATGAATACTCAGCACTGAGCTTAGTGAAAACTCCTAATAGCTCACGAGATGAGCTTCAACATCTTACTAGTGGAAAGTTATTCCAGAATAGTTGGCCATGGTTCTCTCAAAATGAAATTATCCTTGAAATAATGAGCAACATGAAACCTATGTAACTTTACATTTTTTGGAAAATAACTCTACAAAGTGAGTCACATTTAAAGAATTAAGAACATAACTCAACTTTCTTTTATTTATGCAGATAGCCTAAAAACCCTTCCAGGTCTTACGATCACTGCAATAAACAGCAAATACTACAAAGAACTTGGAAAGCATCTTCTGGTTGAGCGTGTCACTCGGACTATGCACACACGTGGCCTAACTGCTCCACTGTGGTGTCTCCTTTTCATTCTGCTGCTTATTCTAAGGAGTCTGCTCTGTGTATCTTGCCTTAAACAGAACCACGCAGATATAATCCCTTATGCCACTGAGGACGGAAGAGCCTTTCTTGAAAACCATCTTAATTCCTTTCCCAGAGAGCTAAGAATTTTGTTTAAACTTTGACAACCCCATCTATGAAGATAGATAATTAAATACAGAAAACCTGACACAATCAATAAAGCACTGAGAGCCAGAAATATGCAAACAGCTCCCAGAACAACAAGGAGGTGACTACGATGCGTTCAGTAAAGAAGGAAAGTTTACAACTCCTTACAACTCCGTTCTGAGGCATCTAGAGCCCAGCTAAACAAGTTCTGAGCTCAGGATCTTCCGAAACCTGACTCCATCTGTATTTCGATTTCAGCTACCCACAGCAGATATCTAGGTATCATCCCATCTCACCCATGACTGTCTTGTCAGTTCTACCTCTTCTGTGCTTTTCACACACAATCCCTCCCCTGCCTCCGATGTCACTGCCCAAGTTCACCAGAAATGTTAACCCAGCATCCCCACAGGGCTCCTGACCTCCAGCCACACCTCCCGGCAGCCCCTCCTCCACACGATCCTTCCTATGGAGATCACACCTCCTCTCATGGGTTAAGCAAACTCCTCAATGGTCAGCAGGATAAAACTGGAGCTCCGTGGTTTGACACACAAGGCCCTTTATTAGCACACTGATTCCTTGCTGATGACTTATTTGTTCAGTTTCCCCAACTGTGATGGATACCCCAAGGGCTGGATGGCCACTACCTACATACAACACAGCCTAGTACAGAGTTGGGAGCTCAAGAAATACTCATTCAATGAACAGCAGACATTCATGCTTCTCTTACCTCTTACCTTATGCTCCCTACCTCACACTTCACACTCAGCAACACCAAACAACCTGCAATTCCAGGAACGTAGGGTGCTCTGAGCTTTTAAACGTGTCATTCTCATAGTCTGAAATGTCTTCCCTCTGCTTGGGAGTCTGGGAAATTCCTTTGATGCATCAAGTCTGGGCTCAAATACTACCCCTGTAGGGTCTCTTCCCCTGTGAATCTCACCTGTAGACTACTGAGCCCAGGTCCCTCCCACTGCACCTCTAGCACCTTCCACACAGCAGTGACCCGGCTATACACTATCACGGTCCGCTGACAGCCAGCTCTACCCTCCTTGCTCACAACGACTGTGATTTTCACCTTCAGCCCCCAACACTAGCAAGAACAGGCACTTACATAGTAACAAAATAAATAAATTAATAAATAAAACAATGATGATGACAATAGTTAACATGTACTGCTTACTATGTGCCAGGTACTATTCCTAGCACTTTACAGGTAAACAACAACTTATTTAACACTGGAAAAACATTAATAGTAAGAATATATTTAGTTTTATATATCTAGTATATGTATAGTATATGTATCTAGTTCTAGCTTCTTTTTACATGCAAATTAAATAATATGACAATGATTTTCAAAATAAAGATCTACATGGAAGATCCTTTCTTTGGGTATATAGTCTCCATATTTATAGGGGGAAAAGCCATCTAATCTAAAGTGATATGTCCCCTCATTTAAACATTACTTCCCCACTGACATCAGGAAAAAGAATGCTCATGGGTCTTAAAAAGATTGTCTCTCAATCAGAATGAACACCAAAATAAGAGTGTCTAACCCAACTCCCTGTGGAAAGAATGAATAAACTAACACTCATTCCATGAATGAGATTTTTTCCCCATCATTGCTTCTTATTAAGTTGATAAATACCCGGCCAGCTTCTATTATCACTCCATGTAAATCACTAATTTACTAGAGCATTCAATGGCTATAATTTCATGAATATATTACTTCACACAGTGAATGAAGAAGCATGAGTGGGCAGTTTTATCCAAGAGCTACAACAATGAAGGTGGAAGTCAGAAGCCCAAGTTCTTGGTGGCATCTATGATGTCTGATGGAAAGGGGTTCTCCGCCTAGCTTGGCCACTAGCCCTGGGAGCAATCAGGAACAAGTCACTTCACCCCTTGGAAAGGGCTTGGTTCCTCTCCTGCCTGCCCTCCCTTGTAGCATCTGAGAGGGTTAGAGGCTGGCATGAGGACTTTGAAAACTGTCCAGTAACAAACAGATGCAAGGTATTATCATTCACTGCTACCTGCTTCTTCAACCTCAGCTGAACCAAAATTCCCCTCTTCATCTTTGTATACAGATAGACATAGGGTTGGAACCTCTAGACTATACAAGAGAATTGCAAGAATCAAGAAAGCCATGTTAAGAAATGTACCCTTCCCTCCACAGACGAAAAGTGCTTTGTAAACTATCTCTGCTTAATACAGAGAGCAAAATCAACCATATTACAACTGGTCTGAACAGTTAAAATTATGCAAATAAGTCCCTTCAGGGTTAATATCACTGAAATAAAATTTTATTGGAAACAAAATACAGTAAAAAAAAAAAAAAATCCCTTATTGCACCAACAATTAGCTTCTCAATTAGTTCTCAAATAGATATGCACTAATGTAGGCCATTGTGCAGATGTATTAAAACAATAAAAAACTTTAAAAACCTAAAACATAAAAAGAAATGAGGAAGCTGCTTCTCCCATGCAGGAGGATGAGCACCCCCAGCCCGCAGCCACCCTTCCTTCCCTCCCCTCCCTACTTCCTTCCACGGATACTCACCCGAGGTTCAGGTGCTTCAGTTTCTGAAGGCTGCTGATCTGTGTGGGCAGCTCCTCAATCTGGTTATTAAAAAAGTTGAGCACTTCCAAATTCTTCAGTTCTGCTATGTTTGGTGGCACAGCTACAGAGACAAAAATGCTGGTCGTGAACACGGGAACCTCACTCCTCACAAGGAACACCAGCAACACACTGCACTTTTCTTCACATGAACGCACGATGAGCATCCAATGTGACCGTCTGATTCATGTGTGCGTATTTTTTTGTGCGTTTTTCTTAGATTGTAACTAACTCGCCACTGAGTAGAAAGACAAATGTTTCTTCAAAGGGCAAAGAGAATTTCTGTGCCACAAACAGCCTATGAGTAAATATTACAAAGCATATAAACTTTTATAATTGTCATACAATGTCTGATAAGTGCACTGCTTCATTCCTTTTGGCTTCCTTGCAGCGAGTGAACTCCAAATCCCTTCCTGAGTGATGATATGTTCATCAAGTTGTTTCAACAATCTGATGTCTGAAGAGCTGCTCTTTTCACATTGCACTAAATCACAATTTAAATTCAACCTTATGATGAAATAGTCAAGCTACCCAGCCCCTGATTTTGGCCTCTGGCCTTTGCACCTTGATCAGTACACACACATGCACATGTTACATCAGATTAGCAACAGATCAATGCACTGTTACATAGGAATATGAAAAATGAACTCAGTAGCATGTTATGAATACCAGTATGCAGATCAAAGGTTAACATAAAACAGGAGGGGCCTGAAAGATTCTTCCTTCCTCAGAGTATATACCTGCAAAGACAAATTTAAAGACAAAGGCATCTTGCCCGGCTAGTGTGGCTCAGTGGTTGAGCATCAACCAATGAACCAAGAGGTTGCAGGGTTAATTCCCAGTGAGGGCACAAGCCCAGGTTGTAGGACCAATCCCCAGAGTGGGGACATGCAGGAGGTGTCCAATTAGTGTTCTCTCTCATCAGTGTTTCTATCTCTCCCTTCTTCTCTCTCTCTCTAACATCAATTTTTTAAAAAAGGTTAAAAAATAAATAAAAACAAAGGCATCTTTACCTCAAAAGTACAAACTCTCTTGCCTGGCAGGGGTGGCTCAGTGGATTGAGTGTCCTCCCTTGGACTGAGAGGTCCCGGTTTGATTCCCGGTCAGGGAACATGCCTGGGTTTCAGGCTTGATCCCCAGTAGTGGGTGTATAGGAGGTAGCCAATCGATGTTTCTCTCTCACACTGATGTTTCTATCTTTCTCTCCCTTCCTCTCTCTCTAAAAAAGTCAATAAAAACATATTTCTTTTTAAAAGAAAAAAAAGTACTCTCAATTGATAGCAGAATTACTTCCCATAGGTTGTATTTCATGTATATATTTGCTGATTCAAGCTTTCTTTTTTTTGTTTTATCCTCACCCAAGGAGATATATATTGCATTTATCGTCAGACAGAGAGGGAAGGAGAGTGAGAGGACGAGAGAGAGAGAAACATACAATTAAGAGAGACACACTGAGTAGCTGCCACCCGCACAACCCCAACTGGGGCCAGGGACAAACTGCAACAGAGGTATGTGCCCTTAGCGGGAATTGAACCCGGACTCCCCGGTCCGCAGGCCTATGCTCTAATGGCTGAGCCAAACTGGCAAGGGCTGATAGAAGCTTTCTATAAACATTTCATTGGCCATGAGCTTGCTGTCCATGGTTCATGCAAACACCAGTACCAAGACTATCCAGGTAACTAAAATCATTGACATGGGCCTTGGGTACAGCACAAGAAAGTGTGTGTCTCATGTCAGCACCTGTACTTCCCATCCCACCAGTTCCCTCCTGCTGAGAAAACCCAGACGCACCTTTGCTCACAACCACTACAAAGGTGTGTGTAAAATTCCAAACAGACATTCCAAGAACTCGTGTGTGTGAGTGTGAGAGTGTGTGTGTGTGTGTGTGTGTGTGTGTGTGTGTCTCTCCCAGGGGAATAAGTAAAGGAGACAGGCACACTGTTCAGTCCTGTTTGGGTCATCATATTCAACTTTATAAAATGTCTAAGGTATTGATGACCTGATTTCTTTCAGAAGGAAGACGACTTGGTAAAAGGTAAAGAAAATGCTTTCATTGGAGGAAGGAATTGTGAAAAACACAAATCATTCTAGACTAAGGCACTAAGAGGCAGTGATCCAGACGGAAAATGAGCAAGGCATGGATTTGTTCCTGAAGTGACTGGTAGTAGGGATGGAGAGAAAAGGGCAGATTTTAATGGGATATTCAAGGCAGCTGGGAATTGCCCCCAGAAACCACACTCTCGGACACCAATACGAATGAATGTAAGCCCTGCCTATACAATTTGAACACGAAAGCACATTTTTTGATGTGTAGTCAATAACACACTTTTTGTGCAAAGGAATGGTGTTCACCTTGTGTAAATGATCATGAAGAAAACCAGGCTGTGCCTGCTGAGTCGCTGTGAAGAGTGTGAGCTCCACAGATGACAATAACACTGCTCGGACCCACCAGTGCCCCGTTCCCCCTCCGGCTACCACAAAGTTTCATTCCCTACCTCCATCTGATTAGTTTGAAGAGCAATAAAGAACCTTAGTGCAACCAGGAGAAAATGATGATCCCAATTTAGCCACAAACCAAGAATAATGCAGCCAGAATTACTGCTGCCTTCCCAAAGTTACTTTGCCAATGCAATTAAATGCTGGTCTGAAGGTATCGCCTTTTTGACAGGATGAGAGATTATTTCACTCTCCTTGCTAAATCAGTCCAATTTAAAGCCACAAATTATGCGAAATGTGATTTAGGGCTCTGTTTTGTGGACATAAACAATAACCCCACATTCAATTTACTAACCTTCTCTCAGCCTTTTGGTGTGCATGTGAATTTTGTGTTTAAGACTCCATTCAAGCTAGACGAGGGGAAAAAATTACACAGCTAATATTGCCCCTAAACTATAGAATTTTTCCCGTGGCCATAGTAAAAGCAAAAGAAATTAACATTCAGACCTGTCTGGCTGGGATAACATTCGCTCTTTCAACCAATATTTAGTGAATGCTTATCAGGTGCACAGCACCACACTTTTAGCACCTAGCATTTTTATACTTTGGGAATAAAGTGAGAGAGGTATTTAAAGAAAGTAATCTAGAAAAGAAGGGGTATCAGACTCGACAAATGGAAATAGGCCAAGTGCTTAGAAAACAAACTAACTTCAACAAAGCTGTCCATAAAAAAGCAGCAGCTAACAGAATAAGTTGTGCAATAACTAAACCATATACAGACATGGCAGGAACAATTTATGAAACACTACTATGAAAAGGTGGCAGCAATATGTCACTGGTCAGAATATTCTGGTGGAATTTTTCAAGATACCTATGTGACACATTAGCAAAAAGTATGGTACTTTAAAATATAACTAGACAATGAGCATCAAGATAGCTCTTATTATGTGTTGGTAATGGTCCTTTCTCATAGATCTCCCTAGATTCGGACTGTGATCCCAGCAGTGCACATGCAGCCCATAGACAACACGGAGCTCAGCACACCAACAAGGGGGCACTGGAACATATGGACACAGGAGTCCCAGCCTGGCCACTCTAGGCTGGCATTGGCCTCTCCTGATCAGCCGTAAGCTCTGTGTGCTCATTCAACTCATCCTCTCTGGGCCTCTGAAATGAGAAGGCTGGATTATGACCATTTCTAAATTCTCTACCATAATCCACATATACACAATGGAGTACTACGCAGCGGTAAGAAAGAAAGATCTCTTATCCTTTGAGACGACATGGAGGGACCTGGAAAGTATTAACCTAAGTGAAATAAGACAAGGAGAAAAAGACAAATACCACATGATCTCACTTATTTATGTAATATAATGAATATAACAGTCTGAGGAATAGGGTAGACCCAGAAACATGGAAGTAGGGTACAGACTGACAACCCTCAGAAGAGGGGGTGATGGGGGGGAGGGACGAGATAAACCACAGAACCTATATGCATGTCTGCATAACCAATGGACATGGACAACAAAGCCGGGGATGGGGCAGGGGGGATGAAGTGGCGGGTGTCAATGGGGTAAAAAAGGAGAAACATCTGTAACAAAAATAAAATTTAAAAAAAAAATGAGTAAAAATAATAAATAAATAAATAAACAAACAAACAAATAAATAAATTCTCTACCATAATCCAAGAAAAGCTAGATTATGAAAATCAATGACATGGATTTAAACAAGGCAACAAACGGGGCCCTCAATTAGGAAGCTCAGTCGTGTAGAACTTTGCTTCTGACAAAGAATTTATTTTTTTAGTATCTTTCTGTCTGGCAATGATGGCTGCTTTAACTTTGAGACTTCAGTTGTCAGATTTGTGAGGAAGGTTCCTAACTACTCTCAGGTGCTCCCAAGCTCCTAAATGCCACATTCTGCTCTGGTTACAGGACCAGGTGACTGCTGGGGACATTCTCAGCCCAGAGTTTCTACTATGTTTTAAAAAGGTGACAAAGATGTGATGATGTCACCCTCCCAAAAAACTATGCCTAGAAACTGGACTCAATGTATCTTCTGGCAACCTAAGAATCTGAATGCTATTCTGGCTAGGGTTCCGACTATCCGAGAACCTAGGGCAGGCCCAGACTCAGCAGCCAGCCCACGAGTGGTTTCTGGATGGTTCCACAATAAGAAGCCCAAAGTGCTTAGCAGGGCCCAGAAGTGGAGGGCCATGAAGGGGACTTGCCTAATCTCCTACGTTAAAGTCTCTTTAGAAAGCTTTTCGGGCCCAGCTGGTGTGAGCATTGTCCCATGAACTGGGAGGTCCCGGTTCGATTCCTCAGGGCACATGCCCGGGTTGCGGGCTCAATACCCAACAGGGGACGTGCATGAGGCAGCTGATTAATGTTTCTCTCTCAAATTGATGTTTCTATCTCTCTCCCTCTTCCTCTCTCTCTAAGAAAAAATTAAAATAAATAAATAAATAAATTTTAAAAAAGTTTCTCGGGCAGAAAACACTCGCTGGACACAGTGGCCGTAGCTCCAACTGTGAAGAACTGCTGAGCCAGCTGTATGCCTAGGAGCAGACTGCCTTCCCTGGAGGGACACCACCTGTCCTCAGCCGTCACATGTGCAGCAGGCACA